CCCGTCGAGAAGTTGGAGGATGCTGGAGAGTATGAGTTGACCGGAAGCGCGGGCGCCGACGACGACGGGTATTACAGCGAAGATGCTGACATTGTTCGCGGCTCACAACGCGCATGAGTCATAGTAGCCAAGGAATGGATTTGTCCTCGAATCGTCTCCCAACGGTGAGGTACCTGAATGGTGCAGAGCGCTGAAGTTCGCTTCATCGTGCATAATCGTTGGCTATCGCTCAAGCGATGTAGGTCCATTGGGGTGCTAAGCAAGCATCTCGATTATACTGCCGGGCTACGGAGTTGGACCAAGATGTGTAAGCCGAAAAGGATGATGGAAGCTATGCAATTCATCTCGGTTGTGTGTGGAGACAAAGGACAAGCATGGCCAAGATTCGAGGCGCCGCAACTCGTCGAAGGGGTGCCGAAGTCGTGCTCCGTTATTCCCGGGATCGATTAACCACGCCGATCCTCCACACTGCACCTTGCTTGTCGCGTGGCGCCGCGAACTTCGAACATTATGTTCGATCGTTACTTGTGTACATTTGCTCATGATATCGCTGTACCTATCTTATAAATTACAGCTCTGCATCATGCCGGCTCAATCGCAGGCCTTACGTCATACCCCCCTTCCAACATTTGATGACGTTGTGAGTTCGTGCTAGTGTCGCGCTCGCGGCTTTCCGCACGCGATTTGCTTTTCGGGACGACAAGCTCTTACAAACCAAGCTCGGCCGAAGCCATTTCATCATTAGTTCGGCGGTGTAGCTTCAATACTTGTATGGAGACGCAAGACCAAGTCGCGGAAACGGCTTGGTCCTGTTCGTACTCCCTTTCCCCATCCTCGGCAACGTCCCCACAATGGAGAAGCTTGAACGTTTCTTGTCGCGACCGACGGCGAAGCCATACAAGACGAGCGACATCGAGGCCTCCGAAGAAATCCACCTCAATGACGAAGGCCTTCTTGAGTTTGGCCCCAATGACATCGAGAACCCCAAGAACTGGTCGACTGCACGAAGATGGTACATTACCGTGGTCTCGGTCATCCTGGTTGTGAACGCCACGTTCGCGTCCTCCAGTCCATCTGGCACGTTGGAGTCTCTCTCGACTGACCTGCATGTCTCCACCGAGGCTGCCGGTCTTGTCATCACTCTATTCCTTCTGGGCTACTGTGCCGGTCCCCTAGTTTTTGCTCCGCTTTCGGAATTCTTCGGTCGCAGGTACATCTTCTACGTCACATTTACTCTGTATCTGGCTTTCAACTTCCTCTGCGCCTTCACGCCGAACTTTGGTGGGCTTTTGGTAGGCCGCTTCTTGACGGGTACGTTTGCAAGTGCTCCTCTCTCCAATGCGCCAGGCGTGTTGGCAGATATCTGGGGACCTCTCGAACGCGGAAATGCGATGGCTGCCTTCTCCATGATGACTTTTGTCGGTCCAGCACTTGGACCTGTTATATCGGGCTTTTTGGAATTGAAGAAGGACTGGCGATGGTGCTTCTACGTGCTTCTCTGGTTGGGTGGCGTCACCGAGCTGCTGATGTTTACGATTCCTGAGACATTGCCTACGATTGTGCTGCGCAACAAAGCCAAGCGCATAAGAGCGTTGAAGATACCTGGGTATGAGGATGTCAAGGCGCCAGTTGAGATTACAGACAGGACCCTTGCAGGCATGTTCCGTGTTTCTCTTACTCGGCCTTGGAAAATCCTCGTCGATCCGATTTCGTTCGCCGTCGCCGTCTACCTTGCGGTCGTATACGCCCTGCTGTACATGCTCTTCACCATCTACCCCATCGTCTTCCAACAACGACGAGGCTGGAACTCGGGTGTTGGCGAGTTGCCGCTCCTTGGGACTGCCATCGGTGCTGTCATCGGTGGTGCCATCATCTTTGCAAACACAGCCAGGGATAAGAAGAAGGCGCAATCGGGCCACAAGGGCGTTCCGGAAGACCGTCTCCCCGTGGCTATGCTTGGCGGCGTCATGTTCCCCATCACCATGTTCTGGTTCGCCTGGTCTGGCGAGTACAATAGCGTGCACTGGATCGTTCCTACCCTCGCTGGTGTTTTCCTCTCCACGTCCATCCTGCTCATCTTCGTCGCGTATCTCAATTATCTCACAGACACGTACCTCATGTATGCTGCGAGCGCGTTGGCAGCCAACACGGTTGTGCGCTCGGCTGCAGGGGCTGCTGCGCCTCTCTTCACACAGTACATGTTTGATGCTCTTGGTGTGGGCGGTGGCGGATCGCTCATTGCTGGTGTGGCTTGTCTGCTTGCGCCTATTCCGTTTGTTTTTTACAAGTATGGCGGGCCGATTAGGGAACGGTCGAAGTTTGCGCCTACTCCTGCTAAAAACGAAGAGCCGAGTGCGTCGAAGACGTAGGATCACTTCTCTGGTAGTGGGTAGACGATTGATACGAATATTGTCTAATTTCGAAGCTGTGGTCATTACGTGCCTTGAATTGTGGTGATGTTGCTATCGTTCCGAATATGGCGCTCTAGTGTGCCGAAGTTGAAGGTTGGAGGTTCTCCGAGGATACGGTCGCAATTCTGGCAGCCATCGGTGAAGGTTGTTATACTGACGCTGCATGCAGATGTTATCACGATATTGTCTCCGTACCGCGGCCATGAATGGTAAGCAAGAAGATACTTATGCGACCTACTGTTGTTGGGTCAGGGTTGGTGCAAAGTCGCAGTTGAAGCCCACGTAAGTAGACAAGTACTTGTGCGAAAAGATTAGAAAGAGTCCGAATGGCTAGATCTAACAATCCAGCTTCTTAAACTCTTGAACCTGGGAAGAAGTGGTCCCGGAGGCTGAGGAGGCATGTCCAATGCGCAAGGTAGCGGCAATCAGCTCGCCGTGTCACGAGGAGTTTTGTACAGTGTAGCGAGTCGCTGTAGCTGAGGAAGGTTGAAGGTGGACGATTAACTTGTTGATGTATTGGAACATGCGCACGCGTCAAAGTCCTTGCCTCCGGTTCAGATCGGCGCGAATTTCCAGCATGTTCGCCCATTAAAGTTCAACCGCTGCAACATTGAACGGCATCAACGTTGATATCGTTACGTCCGTAACCATATCACCTGGTCTAGTGCGGCTCGTGCCGGGGCCATCCACAACGCCGATAGCATGCTAGCCAAGCTCCCGCAAAGGTGATTGGCTGACAGAATTGTCCAGACCAATCTGGAATCACACATGTATGTCAGAGCCATGGGTTATGGGATAGATATCTAGTGCCTAGAAGCAACAGAGTCTAATCATTTGGGATAACGGGTCTATCGATTGTGGCTACGGCTTTGGCGCGTTCTCAGGATCCATCCGAGGGTTTACAACAGCCGGACCAAGTACTCTCTCCCTTAGTTTCCATCCTGTCTCCGACATCACCAGACGATCATAATGCATGTTATAGATCCAGATCTGGGGCAAGTCCCCGTCTGATTCGATAAACGATCCTTCTTTTCCTTTGAGCTGTGTCTCAAAACCCGACGGCCAGGCATATCGTATGCACTGTTCATGATAACGGACAGTCACACCACCCGTCTCTTCGTCGCGTTCGACAATGTGATTGGTCGCATGGCGACTGACGCCCGGGATGATGTAGGGATATGTGGTGTTGAAGAACGCTCGCATTTCATCGACACCAGTGACTGTTCCGTGCCAGTGTCTCAAGACAACGCCTTCGGCCGCTTGAGCAAGAATCTCTTCGACTTGGAATTGCTCCATGATGAGGTTGTTTCGGTTGACGAAATCGATTGCTGAGCTGCGTTCTTCAGCTGTAACGTCCGAGGAAACATGGGGCTTGACTGGGGGCATGGCAAGTGTGGGAGTGATTGGGACAGACATGGCAGTTCGAAGTAGTTCTTGTGAGAGATGATGCGATATGAGAAGGAGAGCGTGCGGGACGTGAGCTTTAATAGCACGCAATCTAGCTCAGACATGGAGTCAGATTGATGATAACCTGCGTATCGTGACTCCGATCCGTGATTACAAACGATCAAGTGTCAGATGAGCTATAGATACGTGCGAAGCGGAAGCCGGTCTTTCTGATGTCGATGCGCGTTCAATCTTTGTTTGATACTAACGAACACGTTAGACGTACAAGGAGGCCTGGCTGATATCAACATGGTTATTGACATGTGCGTTACAGGATGGGGTGATTAGATGGCTGTGATTTTGTTCCGCTGTAGCTCATGTGGGTCGCCGTGGTACCGTGTGTTACGCGCGTAACAAGGGTCTATTGCCGTCCTCCGCTTTACCTAAGTCAACAGCGCTAGCGAGTTCATTTCGGGTTATCCAAAGAGCCGATCAAAGATATCTCCGCCCTTACGGGTGAACTTCAGTCATCTCGGAGAAATGGTCCGTCCTCTATCTATTGGTTTGTTTAGGCAGATGTTGAAGATCATCGTGCTAGCGTTGATCTTGTGTAAAGAATCACTCACCGCATCTAGTCGGTCTATCTTCTCGAAGATTATGGATGATGCACGTCGATACATTCAAACTTCTGACATACAGTCCCAGTAGAGCCTGGTTTCTCTTTTGGTTTCGGTACTTCTAAAACCTTCGTTCCAACGAACCGTGCATTACCAAACTGATCAGCACACTGTTATCGCCTGCAAGCTAGACAGTACTGCAGCTGATTGTTGTTATGAATCATCCGACTTCTGGGCGAAAGCAACATCCCTATGCGACTCATTCAGTTCAATGTCTTAGTTCAGGATGGATGAACCCATCGCCGACGCGGCCGAATAATGTCGATATAAGAACCATCGATCATGCCGTTCATCTTCATCATCAACTAAGCCACTCCATCACATTGAATCAACTTGACCTCTTTGCACAGATAGAAGCATAGTAGCTGCAACGTTCCGAGTAAGTTCATCCGCTGAATCTTTGGCCCCGGGACAAATCTGATCACAATGAGTCGCAGTGTCTTCGCAACCTCCTGCCGCAGCCGATCAGCCACCCCTTGGGGAGCAGAAATACGTCAATAACGCTGGTGTTACCATCCACTACCGAATGTACGCTCATAGAGATCCGTCCGCACCATACATTCTCTTTCAACACGGCTTTCCCGACCAGGAAACAACCTGGAATGACTACCAGATCCCGGTCTTTTCCCGCCACTACAATATTATCACTCCCACCCTTCGCGGCTTTCCTCCAAGCGATATCCCACCAGATACATCCGACTACACTGGAACAGCCTATGCGACCGACATGCTCGCTATCCTCAACCAGGAAAATGTCACAAGCGTGTACCTAATCGGCCATGACTTTGGAGGCGGCTTGGTGCAAGGATTCACACAGGCTTTCCCTGACAAAGTCAAAGCGCTGATTATCATAAACGCGCCGATAATGCCCACCTTCCTACCTCTACTTTCCTATGATGCCGAAGCACAGGAGTACGCCCGCTACACAATCCCATACTACAGCTACGTCCCCGGTCAGCCGAAAAACATCCCCACTATTGTTAAAACAATTCGCGATCCCGTCTACCGCCGCAAGATTGCAGACTATCTCGATCGCTCGCCTATTCACGGCATGCTCAACTTCTATAAGAACAACTACCCTGGCCCCACGTACGGTCAGGACCTCACTGCTGCCTTGAATATAACAAAAGAGACCTGGACCCAGCGCGTTCCCACCATGGTACTCTGGGGCGAGGAGGATGATTACTTCAGCCCTAAGACTATTGATGGGCTGCAAGGCTGGTTTCAATTCGGAGTTAGGCTCGTCACGTTGCCAAAGTCGGGTCATTGGCCGTTTAGGGATCAGTGGAAGAGGGCGAACCAGGAAATATCTAGCTTTTTGGCCATTGCTGATGACGTTGAGAAGGACGTCTTATAGGATTAACAAATTGACAATCACTGACATGACTGAGGTGGTAGGTAGGTGTAAGGAGTAGAGTTAGTTAGATTGGTCTTACACGGTAATAGAAGAATAACTTGATAATGTTATCGTATACTTTTTTATTATTGCGATACTTCGCATTTGAAAGTCTCCATCTTGCGTTTGCGGTATCGATCAACATTTTCACCGTTTACGTGGTTATACGGTGAGGTCTTACGCATCGAATGCAGTTGTGTAGGATGAAACATCGACGTTGAGGTAAGGATAGAGCGATCGTATGCAGGACGAAGAAGAAGCGTTGTACCTCCTTCTCTTTCGATTCGATTCATCAACCACAACTAAAAGAATGCTTCTCTTGCTTGAATGGCTTGTGCGCATTCTGTCCCATCGGTCGCTTGACAGGCTAAAGTATTGTTGTGTAAGTGAACTGTGTTTCAATCACAACAGCAGGCCAGGATACACACTAAGGGAAGGCAGGAGCGAAGAACAAGATAAGCAAGAGACGTGCATAGTGTGCAAAGCGAAATCGATCGTTACGGTGCCGTGGACACGAGGCAAAAATCTGCAGTCAGCATATGTTGCGGGGTTACGTCACGTCGCGCGCGCGTCATCACGCGTTGAAGACGCGTCGCAGATCCATCAAGCTCGTCCCCCATTCTTATAGCAGAAGTGCACATAAGAGCGACTAACTTGGACATGGATACATGATCAGCTTCCAAGCAATGCAAAGCCTCGTGACAAGGGGCCTGCATCGCATACCACAGCCTCATATCGTACTGCGTGGTCGTGGCAAATTTCCGGTCAATGAACTCTTTGCGGCTAGCGGCTTACTATCAGGTGTATGGCCTACCCCGCTGATCATCCTTCTTGCGACCTTCCATCCCAACTCATAGCCTTCTCAGTCCGAACCCGAAACCTCCGACACTACCTATCCTTGCGCTGTTAGTGAAGGGCTTCGCAGACATGAGCCTGTGCGACAGCGTGTTATCATGGGACGGTATCCTCTGTCATCGTTGTCGCCAAGTACTCGATAGCCATGTCGTGCGCACGATGCACGACGAAGACTCGTGCACTAAGGAGAAGTGTGAAAGGTCTGACCTACACGCGACACAGCCTCCTTTGGAGCGGCGTGATGTTCACCTGTGGTTACACCCTGCCGCATCGCTTCGATCGTGTGCGACACGGTCTTGTAAGCTTTGTAAGCTTGTTCTATCCTATATCAGCAACGAGGATCTACAAAGGCTGGTGTCCTGGCAAGCTACCTTGCCTGCCACCTTTCACCACATGAACTATGGTTGGAACACAATTTGGGTGTATAAACCTAGCGCAGATCCAAGGCCAGAGACCGAGAGCTTCGATCCCACGATCAATGACAACTATCCACAATCTATTCTCAGGATTGACGTGGAGAACGTTCTAGGTGAGAACTCTAAGCTAAATGCGATGAAAAATGCTAACTGACCCTAAAAACCACGAGTCATTGCGCGCAAGCAAGATTTCGAGCCTTACCACAGCCTCGGATGAGACATTTGAACAGATAGCCACCTGGCTAAAGGATTGCCAGATCCACAGAACATGTGCCAATGGACCAGTCTTACGGGGTAACTTAGACCACTCCCGACCGACAAGGCTTCTAGAACTTAGATGCGGAGATGTTCAACCCAGTGTCAAGCTCGTGCACACTGCGACCATGTCTATCGAAGACGTCTCGTACGCGACCCTCAGTCATTGTTGGGGAAACAAACCCATATCTAGGCTCCTAAAAAGCCTCGTCAAAGATTATTCGTCGAATGTCCTGTGGGATAGTCTCTCACTTACATTTCAACAAGCAGTAATCACTTCGCTCAAACTCGACATACGCTACCTGTGGATAGATGCTCTTTGTATAGTTCAAGATGATGAAGAAGATTGGGCATACGAAGCCGCTCGAATGACCGAGGTCTACGTGAACTCTTTCCTCAATATCTCCGCAGATGCATCGCATGATAGCACTGAGGGCCTTTTCCGACAGCGCAACCCAGACACCATTCAGTCTTTTATCATGCCTCACTGCGAGAGGGGATCTCCCCGTTGTGCGTCCGTGTTTTACATGTACAAATGGTGGAAATCTATCTGCTTTAGCCCACTTGCAGATAGAGCGTGGACAGTTCAGGAAAGGTTCTTGGCACCAAGAGGACTACACTTTGCCGAGGATCAAGTGCATTGGGACTGCATAGAGCTCTGCACTGCGGAGAGCCTTCCAAGTGTTTTTAACACCGCTCCGCAGAGAGGCTACAGGGTTCGAAAGTCTGCGCTAAGAATCGACGTACCGGCAAAGGAAAGGACGAGAATATTATACGATATGTGGTATCGACTTGTGCAGACGTACTCTTGGGCGAGCTTGACCTTCACGTCAGATCGCGCGATTGCAATTGCTGGCTTGGCCTGCAAGTTTTGCAATCTCTTGGAGCTTTCTCCAAACGACTATCTTTGTGGAATGTGGCGGTCACAGCTTGGGCATGATCTGATGTGGAAACGTCTCGCGAACTGGTCAAAGCCACCTCAAAATCTGAGAGTCTCGAACCTACCATCTTGGTCTTGGCTCTCTCTGTGCGCACAGATATGGATGTGGCCTAGACATTCGAATGAAAGTTACCCGGATTACAAAAGTCGAATCACGGCAGAAGTTCTCGGCGCTTCTACCACGCCATGCCATACTGCATTCGGACCAACATCATCAGGTGAAATAGTTCTACAAGTGTTTATCTGCCAGGCCACATTAGAAAAAGGTGACTTAGCATTTTATGCTGGACATGAGTATTGTAACCACATCATGAATATTAGTGGATCAGCGTTGCGCGAAGACGAACATTTTGAGCTCTTGCTGGATGACAACAGCAACATTGGTACGCAAGAGATCTTGAATACACCCGTGTATTTGATGCTGGGACGAGCTTCCAAATCTGCAAAGGATAGGTCAGTTGCGCCCTCATAAGCTCACAATCTCACTTGCCGTCTATTTGACTTATTGCAGCCATACCAATCTGCTAACACGCTGTATAGAAGGCCTGAAGCAAAGATCACTACCACTTCCATTCTACATGGCCACAACTACGAATGCTTAATCATCCAAGAGTCTGGTCGACTCGGTCATTTCCAGCGCTTAGGCTTTGTGAGTTTAGAGCCAAGATTCAGTCCACATAAAAGCGATATCACTTCGGAACAATTTTATGAGATTCGCCACAATGCTCATGGCCTACTCCGCAAGCAATTTGTAGAGGGCGAGATACCCGAAAGCGTATGTGGCAAACCAGATCAAGTAGGGCGGTATACTGTAATGCTGGTATAGTTGTGTGTGCCGCTAATGGAAATGTAGCATGTTCTTCTAATGTATCGCTCATCTAGTCTGTATGATAAGGCGAAAGCATGGTCGAGTGCAGTTACATCAGTTATGGAGACAGAACATTCCTTGACGGTGAGCTGTGCAATATGCGCCACACAGCACCAGGTGCTATACCTCTCACTAGACTACGTACGATCAAACGTCACAGCGCCAGTCTTAGGCCGCTCGTTCTTCATCGACACATTACTGCATAATGGATGGCACATAGAAGCAACTCATGGCAATCAACGATGCGTCTTCACGCCGCAATGTGACGACGGAAATACTGCACAACAGGTTGCGGACGGCGATGCGGTCCCCAAGGATTGTCAGACGGGCAGAGTGCGGCTATAGGTATGAGCAGTAACATGGCTGACAATCCCATATGAGATTCTTGCAGATCGCATCAAGGACATCGAGACATCGAATCCTGAATGCCTCTAGTCGCACCCTATCGCCAAGCTCCGGTAGCAAGACTCTGCGCATATCTGCGCCGGCAGAACCACGGAAGTCATCTGCCCCCTTCCCCTCGGTTTTGCTTGATCTGCCGAAACGAGAGTCGTGGCTCTTGGAATTGAGCGGTATGATGCACAATTCGCATGCCAAGGTTGATCCATACAGGGAATCTGTGGGGTAAAATCTGGGGTTAATGCAAGTTGCTGACAATCGCCACCCGCCATGAAGCGAAAGCTCGAAAAAAGGTCGGCGTCGCTCGCCATCTGCCCGAACCGTTCGCATGCTCGCGACATCAATGTCCGACAAAATTACTCCTCCGCATTCGCTGCGTTCGCGTTGAAGTTACATAAAACGTACTGCCAGACTGCTCCTGATGGGTACAGCAAGTCGCCAGGATCAATAGTGTGAGGTCTGCATCCAGGAAGTCATCATGCGATTCTTATGTGCCTTGGCCGCCACCGTCTTCACGCTATTACCGAATTTTATCGCGGCGCAAAACTCGACCGTCAAAGTCGTCCGGCTCAGCGTAGATGGCCGTTACGATCAGCCCTTGGATCTTGAGAGCCGCCGTCCAACTCTTAGCTGGCAGACTGTTCAAACAACCCAATGCACCGAAGTTGTCTGCCCAGGCGACCGACAGACTGCGTACGAAGTTCAAGTCGCCGCATCCGAACACGATCTGAGTACGGACCAGCTACGATGGGGCTCTGGGAAGCAGAGTGGCTCAAGTCAGTTGGTGCATATGGACTGTGAGCTTGGTTCGCGTGATACGCTCTTCTGGCGTGTGCGTGTCTGGGACGCCCTCGGTCAACCTTCAGCCTGGTCGGAGGCTTCATCTTGGTCCGTAGGGCTGCTCAACCAGTCAGACTGGGGTGGAGCTCGTTGGATTGAGTATCCTGACTGTGACCCAAGCCAACCCCTCCCGCTATTCACCCGCCGCTTCGATGTACCCAGCGGAAAAGGCATTGTCGGCGCTCGTCTATATCTGTCAGGCGTGGGGATGCATCTTGCCTCTGTGAATGGCAAGGCCGTCACCAACGAAGTGCTAGCACCAGGCTACTCGAACTATCAACTTTCCAGCGAATATCGCACATACGATATCAGACCACTGCTTCAAACCGGCGCGAACGCTATTGGGGTAAAACTGGGCAATGGACCAGCCTACGTTCGTCGGAACATCACGAATGCAGCTGTTGGTCGGAATGCGCCCTACGCCTGGTGGCAGAGCCAGCTTAAGGGCGACGGAATCCTGCTCGATGCTACTACGATAGGAAGCACCAGTGTGCGCTTGAACAACGCAACTGGATATCATGTGCAAGGCAGTATCAATATCGACGCGGGTGGAGGCGGTGACAGGCTTGAGTCGCGTGTCATAACCGCCATCAATACTACTCAACAGACTATCAGCTTTTCGCCACCTCTAGAGCTTGAACATGCTGTGGGTGCAAGAGTCACCGGTTCGGGCAACAATGTTGCAGCTAGCAATCCGTCTGCTGGTGCCGCAGGTATGCCTTAATCTGAATACATAAGTGGTGTTCGATGGGTTGACTAACTTAACTATAGTAACTCCGCGCCTTATAGGTCGTCTTGAGATCACTTATGATGATGGCAGCGAAGACCTCATCGTGACCGATAGGTCCTGGCGTACTACGCTCGGTCCATTGGTTACCGACGCTTGGTACTCTGGCTCCGATTTCGACGCTCGCAGAATAATAGATGACTGGGATCGTCCCGGGTCTCAGCAAAACTCGTCTCAATGGATCTCAGCTGGCATCGCACCTCCACCCAACCTGGCAACAAGACTCGTCGCTCGTGCAGCCGAACCAGTCAGGGTCATGGAATATCTCGAGCCTGTATCGATATCAAACCCTTTCAACGGAACTTGGGTTTTTGATCTTGGCCAAAACATCGCTGGTTTTCCTGTACTTAAGCTTCCGCAAATGCCAGCAGGCATCATCATCAGAATGGCGGCTGCTGAGTCTCTCAATGCGAATGGCACTATCAACCAGGAGTCCCTGGGTATCGGAAACCGAGGCACTGACGTCTTCAACACCTACACCACTTCTGGACGTGCTGGAGGCGAAACCTGGCACCCAGACTTCAATTACTTCGCTATGCAATGGGTGCAAGTGACCGGCCTGCCTGACGGATTTCGTCCAAGTGCCGACCTCATGACAGGCGCCCGTGTGCAAGCTGATGTACCAGTCGCTGGCACTTTCCGTTCGTCCAGCTCGCTTCTCAATCGGCTCCACAATATGTCGCGTTACTCCATCGCGAGCAATGTCATATCGGTGATCACTGATTGTCCTGGTCGTGAGAAGCTCTCATACCCAGCCGATTACACCATGCCCATGGGTGCTATTCATCGAAATGTCCACATCAACGCCTTCCTGCGTACAAACATGCGACATCTGGTAGAAGCGCAGTCTATCGCAAACACCTCCATGGCAGGTAATGTGGCCTTGAAAGCACCTGTATATGACTGGGGCTACTCTGGACGATTTGGAGACGAGATCAATTGGGGTAATGCTATCGTGCTTGTACCTTCTTACTTGTACGATCTATATGGCGATACAACAGTCATGAACATGTACTACAAGCAGATGACTGACTTTGTACAATATTTGCAGCGTGAAAAGGTGCGGAACAACATTGTCGATGCTGCGCTTGCCGATTGGGTTGAAGACGACTCAAGGACGTCAGGTCGCATCACTGGTACCTGGGGCTACTACCTAACAATCAACGCCATGGCACGCATGGCCAATCTTACTGGGCATGTAGATGATGCTGTACAGTATGAGCGTCTGGCCTTGGAGATTCGAGAGGCTTTCAACGCTGCCTTCTACAACACTGCCACCGGTCGTTACACCAGCCTTGGAGATAACTCTACCGTGAACGCTACGCAGGCTGCGCAAGCTCTCGCTTTAGATGCTGGTCTTGTATCTGAAGAACATCGACAGCAAGTTCTGGACGCGCTGGTTGAACTTACATATGAATATCCTTCGCAGGACGGACTTGGCCCACATCTGAGCGGTGGAACGATTGGTATGGGGCCTATAGTAAGAACCCTCTCCGCCGGAGGCCGTGACGACATACTTTGGGAAACTCTGCAGCAAAACGATCAGCCTAGCTATGGCTACTTTCTGGCATCTACTACGGAGAATCCACAAGGTCTCACGACCATGCCTGAGCGTTGGAACCGTGAGGATTCCAAGAACCATATGATCCTTGCTCAGATTGAAGAATGGCTCCACGCTGGTATCGCTGGCATACAACCCGGTGCTCTTACGACGGTCAGCAAGTCATGGGGCGAGGGACTTGTGTTTCAGCCAAAGCTCGTTGGAGATGTTCAGTGGGCACAAGGTACTTACCAAACTATCTGCGGAGAGGCTCAGAGTGCTTGGAATAGGACGACTGATGGAGCTTTTACTCTTCAGGTCACTGTACCGGCAAATGTGGTGGCAGAGGTTCGTCTGCCGGCTGGCAGCACTGTTGTGAAAGTTTCGCAGCGTGCTGCATCTAAGGGTGTTGGCAATAACTCTACGGTGTTCACAGTGCCTTCTGGCACACATACGTTCCATAGTAGACTAGAGGTCTAGCTTGGGGCGTCTAGGTGACCTAATCTGAATATCCATAATATTACGGTCTGAATGCTTCTGGTGACGGAGATCCGCAAGGATGATCACACGCCAACTGCGATTGGTGGCTTTCTCGCCCCACCCGCGGAGTCGTCGCCCGCGGTGACCAACATCAAAGATCGCAAGCACCTCTCACACGGATGAAGGCGCGCCCAGGTCCATGCGAAATCGCAATGATCCTAAAGTGACTCAGCAGCTTGTGAAATGGCGCGTGAAATGTCGATGTCAATATCGAGATGACCTGGCAGCCCGGAGGCGATGCAGTCGGGGAGGCGGCTTGATGCGCTGCGACATGCAGCTGACTGCACAGCACATCACCAAGGCTGCTCTCAGCCTGGTCTTCGTACAGTTTGATGTTTGATTTCCTTCCTCTCCCTTTAGCACCATCTTCCATCCTTCTCTTATCTTCATTTTGCGACGCATGCGCCGCGTGCCAGTTCTACCCCGATCCTCATCGTCAGCCGCAAGCAAACGTCGGGCGAGCAACAGCGTGCGCAACAGTGAAACACCGCAGCCTCGGCTCGTGCGCGCTAAACCGATCAACAGCACCACGAACCAATGCGCCTTCTGCATCACGATCATGATGGGGAGCTCGTTCTCACTGCGTTCGACGACTACGAGCAGCCAGCTTATACTATACTTTCACACACTTGGGGAAAGGACGAAGAAGAGGTTTCTTTCGCAGATCTTATGGATGGTGGTGGAAAGGACAAACTTGGATACAATAAGATTCGCCTCTGTGGAGAACAAACACGGCGGGATGGATTCCACTACTTCTGGGTTGATACTTGCTGCATCGATAAGTCGGACAAGGTTGAGCTTTCCTTAGCTATCCGGTCCATGTTTCGCTGGTATCAAGACGCGGCGAAGTGTTACGTGTACCTCTCAGACGTATCAGCAAAGAAAAGGAAACTTGATGGCATGCTTACAGAAACGACGTTGGAACATTCGCTGACGTCAAGTCGATGGTTCACGCGTGGCTGGACGCTGCAAGAGCTCCTAGCTCCAAGCATAGTTGAGCTGTTCTCTCAGGAATGGAAAAGACTTGGAGATAAGACGTCGCTCGGACCGCTGATCAGTAAGATAACTGGTATACCACAGGAAGTGCTGCAAGGATACTCTCTTGCCCAGTTCGATATTAGCGAGCGCCTGCGTTGGAGAGGCGACCGAAAAACTAAGCTGAAGGAGGATATGGCGTACTCGTTGTCAGGCATCTGTGATGTCGACATCGCACCTCTGTATGGCGAAGGAGAAGAAGAGGCATTCAAGCGACTTCACAAAGAACTTCAGAAGCTAAAGGATTGTTTGCGTGACTTGCGCCAGGGCGATCCCAAGGATGATAAGAAACGAATCGAGGAGACAAAGGGCGGACTGCTAGTAGACTCATATCGCTGGGTTCTCAGCAACGATGCTTTCCAGCAATTGCAACGAGACCCGCAAACGAAACTTCTATGGGTAAAGGGCGACCCTGGAAAAGGCAAAACGATGCTGCTTTGTGGGATCATTGACGAGCTACGCATGTCGATGCCTAACACGACTCTACTGTCATATTTCTTCTGTCAAGCGACATTCTCTCATCTCAACAGCGCTACGGCCGTGCTTCGAGGGCTGTTGTACATGCTCATAACTCAGCAACCATTGCTTGCGTCGCACATATATAAGAGACATGATCACGCAGGAAAGCGTCTATTCGAAGATGCAAATTCTTGGGTTGCATTGACGGACATTTGGGTTGACGTGCTGCGAGATCCCGGCCTGCGCATGGGTTACTTGCTCATCGATGCGCTTGACGAATGCACTACCGACCGGTCTAAGCTGCTGCGCTTCATTGCTATGCAGTCTTCTTCTTCATCTCGTCTCAAATGGATTGTTTCTAGCCGGAACTGGCCAGAGATAGAAAGATCGCTAGATCCAGCGGCTGGAAAAGTGCCCCTCAGTCTCGAGCTCAACGCGCACTCCATCTCCGCAGCAGTCAAGACTTTCATTAACACAAAGGTGTCCCGACTGGCAGATGAGGAAAGATACGACGAGCAAATACGGAACGTTATATCAGAGTACTTGAGCGCAAATGCAAACGACACATTCTTGTGGGTCGCATTAGTATGTCAACATCTCAAGGGCATAGCAAAGCGGCATGTCATGAAGAAGCTCAATTCCATTCCGCTTGGGCTGACGCCATTTTACGAACGTATGTTGAGCGGGATAAGCGAGTCAGAAGATGCCGGAACCTGTCGTTGTGTGCTGGCCACTACCGCCATCCTGTTGCGACCCGTCGTGATCCAGGAGTTGACTGCAATAGTTGAGCCCCTGGAGGAATTCGCTGATGATCTCGAGACGGTCCGGGAGATTGTCGAACTATGTGGATCTTTTCTCACCGTGAAAAAAGATACAGTGTATTTCGTCCACCAATCTGCTCGGGACTTTCTATTCACAAATGCGAACGATGAGATATTCCCATACGGTATCGATATCGCCCATCAGGAGATCTGCCGGAGGTCACTCGCAGTTCTGTCTCTTCAACTACACAGAGATATGTACAAGCTGGAAGCACCAGATGCCTTCATTGATGATGCTCAGCCGCCAGATCCTGATCCATTAGTAGCATTACGTTATTCGTGCGTGTATTGGATCGATCATCTCTGCAACTCCAAGTCGATTTTTAGGGTTAGCCATGCTGGCAGCAACCTGGTTACAGATGAGGTCATGCTATTTGTGAAAGAGAGATATCTTTACTGGTTAGAAAGCTTGGGTCTGTGCAGGAGTACAACGAAAGGCGTCCTTGCGATGAAAGCACTATCTTCCCTAGCAGAGGTATGGAATCATCAGTTACCAAGCTGTTCATAGTATCCAACAGAAAGGCTAACATAGAAAGGAGACATCGGACAAGTCAGATCTCATCGACCTTCTGAAAGACGCAAATCGATTTTTCATTCACAACAAGAGTGTCATAGAGCGTTACCCACTCCAGACATACGCCTCGGCTCTCCTTTTTAGCCCAAGGGGTAGCTTGATCAGAACAGCGTTTCAGCACGAGGAATTAAGTTGGATTACGATCCAGCCAGATATAAGTGAAACATGGGATCCTTGCCTGCATACATTCGAGGAACGCTGTAGTGCGGTGGCCTTTTCACATAATTCCAATCACTTAGCATTAGCGCTGACCGACGGTACGATCAAGATCTGGGACGCAGACAGCGGCATCTATCTACCGACATTTGAGAATCACAAGACCGAGTTTTGTCAAATAGACAAAGTAAGGTTCTATCATGATTCAGCACGGCTAGCGGTCATATCAGAAGCCCATGAAATGATCAAGGCGTGGGACGTCGCTACCGGCACGTACCTATCTACCTGGAAATATGATAGAAAGATGTTGAAACGAAAAATTCCGTTCTGCAGGGATGAGGCCCTACGAGCGTTCTCAGAAGCTACCATAAGAGCCTCTGTCAGGATCTTCGATACGGTCGAGGCCAAACTTTTATCATTCCTCACGAGCCCTCATCACGATGTCAATTGTGAGGTAGAATCTATTTTCTCTGATTCGGGGAGATTCTTGGCTGTAAACTTCGGGAGTAATATCAAGATATGGGATGCAACCAGCAGCAGACATATCCAGTCGCCTCAGGTGCCAGTCAACGATAACGGGTTGAAACCAAATCCGGTCACATCTGCTTGCATTTCTGATTCGATGTTACTTGTCTCAGGGTTTTATAGTGGCATGGTAATGGTTTTCAGTATCGATAGCGGGAATGTATTACATGTCCTTGGTTCTAGAGTGGGATTCCCTCACATTCAGGCAAGCCCGGTGGCCATCTCTCATGACTTGCCACAAGTAGCATTATCAGGTTCATCAGGCTTCGGAATCTGGGACCTTAGCGATGATTCAAGCCCACGGACGTTGAACAGGAAAGAACATGTCGTCATGTTGGACTTCTCGCATGATTCGAAACGACTCGCTTCCAGATCTGAGAACGGCAAAACGAAGATTTGGGACATCCGTGGCGAAGACTGCTCCAAGACACTTGACGACCATCAACTCGGCGTTGACTTATTGACTTTTTCCAATGACTCAAAGTATCTGGCATCCGGAGCGTCTGACGGCTCTGTCAAGATCTGGGATCTTCACGGCAAATGTTTGCACACACTTCGTGGACACAGCGCGAGGATCATCGGCATCGACTTCACGCATCACCCAACACGTGTTGGATCGTTATTGGAGGACGGTACGTACAGAATATGGGACACGACCAGTGAGCGACGTCTCCTCAGATACAGGTGTTCTGGACATGTCGTCGCTTTCTCGCCTGATGCAAGAATTTTGGCCCGCCAGATATGGGTTGGTCGTATAGATCTCTGGAGCGTTGTTGAAAACGTTTGCCTTCTAGTTCTGAAGGTTGATAAAGGAGCCCTCGTTTGTGCATTGGCATTCTCTAATGACTCAATACAGTTAGCCGTGCTCATGGAAGAACATATCAAAATATACCACACGGGAAGCGGCGAGTGGCTCCAAACATTGGATGCGGAATACAGAGTATCAGGCTTACCAGGTCTTTCACTAAATATCTATCATACCTCTGTAGCCTTCTCAAACAACGCGACGCGGCTAGCATCCGCGTGGAACGATGGCACCATCCAAATCTGGGACAGAAACAGCGGCAGATGTCTGCATAATATCAAAGGCGTCCCACGACTCTCGAATGTGTCATTTGATCAAAGCGGACAGTTCCTTTTGACTGACCATGGCCGCATCGCGATCCCTGCATCTTCGGACTTAGAAGGATTTGTAGCTCCTACGACTACCCGATCATCAGGGTTCCATGGGATAGGTCTGAGCCTAGACCTGAAATGGATCACCTACAACTCTGAAAATGTTCTGTGGCTGCCACTGGAGTACAGGCCGAGTCGGAAGTGCTCAGTCATCTCTGGAAACTCGGTCGGTGTTAGAGTTGCTATCAGTCAATCAGTCAGTTGTCAGTTCATCTTTGCGGTTCAAACTGTCAGTCTGGAGGTAGTGAACTGACCTGATTGACTGCCAAGACATTTTTTAGAATCGCGAACTGAGACTGAA